ATTTCATTTCACATGAACAATTTAGCAAGAAGGAAAATAGCCCATTGATAATAATCATCTCTAGATTTTTATTTAGCTTTGGTCTATAAATACTCACAGTATATAGGTATTTATTACTTGGGCAAGATCAGAAAAAAAGGGAATAAATATTCAAATTCAGATTTCTCTGCTTTTAATAACTTAATTAATATGATTCCTTCACTACATGATAGCTAATAATAGTAAGTTTCTATTTAACATTCATTTTTCAAAATGGCGACTTATTAAGTAAGTTTAATTAACAAATTAATATTTGAAATCGATTTTTCTTTGAAAAGAAAGCAAGATAAATGTTTGGAAGCTTGACAAAAGTTGTAGAGCTTGCTTTTTTCTATCATATGATCAAAATAGATTTTATTAAAAATGAGTTATTTAAGTTAAATTAACTGAAAACCAAATTGAATGTAAAATGTATTTTTAAATCAAAACTATTAACCTTAATCGGTCAAGAACAATTACTTGATATCTAAATAGTCTTTTACTATTTAATTTACATTCGAAAAAGGCTTAAAAGTAAGTTAAATTAACTATAAAAACAATGAAATTTAAGTTGAGCAACAAATTTTGCTCTTATTTGCTCACAAATTTATAATTTTAAAAACCGTTACAAAATTTTTGGTCAAATTTTTTACTATAATTTAATTTTCTCTGCTTGTCTTGAACAAAAAGTAATATTTCTTTTGCAATATGATAAACATTGTTGAATTCTATAGTTTGAAATGGAAAAATCAGTAGACGAATAACACAGCAATGACTTATGACTAGTTTTGTAAAACTCATCATAACTTGGTTAATTATAGTAAAATTGAAAATTTTCTCTTACAGACTTAAAGAAAATTACATATGTAACCTTTTTTGTAAAGAAAGATAGTTCCTAAACTATTTCCTTCATATCAAAATTTCAGCTTCAACATTTTAAAGCTGAATTAAGCTAACTTACAAATCCGCCATTTTGTATATTTTAGACAAAACTTTTAATGATCTGATTACTTAATTATCTGGTGAAAAAATCGTTATGATTAATGAAGTATTCGCAGAGATATTACATTTGCAACATGGTGTAAAATCGAATTTCCTCAAAATTGTTCGTGACGCTTAGCATTTTAAATTAATTTTTAATTATAATACAATGTCTAAGAGATACTTGTTATACACCAAAATATAGGTCTTGGCAAGGACTTTAAGAAAAACACAAGTCTTAAATACATATTTCGCATTATTGATTCAAAAATTGTAAATTATTGTTAAGCGTCACGAACAATTCATTTTTGATCTTGCCCACTTGCGTATTTATAAATGCATGTAAAGCTTTTTATCCTCCTTGAATGGATATATGTGAGTATTCTCTTTTAATTGCTTATGTTTTTATGTTTTTGTATTTGTTTCCGAGATTTTATGATGATTTTCATTTTTTTCTCGCCTTTGCCTCCTTTTTGTTTGTACCATGTTAAATAAATCTGATTTTCTCTGTAGTTTTGTTAACATACTATAAGAATCTAATTTTATTGTTGAATAATCAAATTTTTAAAAACAAACTTTAAAAATTAGAGGTATATTAGGGTCAACATTTTAAATTTTTCAATTTAACCACGTGTTTTTAGATTAATATCAATTTTCTACCCGGAAATTACCAACAATCAGCCTTAAACAGTTTGTGAACTACTTTTGCCACTTTTTTCTGTGTTTTTTCAACAATAAATCAACAAATCATTTAACTTTGACAGAAAAATCAACAAAATGCTTTTTGAAGTGACGAAGGTTCACCATTTTGATTTTTTCAAACAAAAATTATGTAAAAATCCAAAAATTAAGTAAATCACACCTTTTTAATTTACGACAATCTATAATTACAATTAAGCCTCAAGAATAAAAAAACGAAAAGAAAAAGCAAATTACTTCCCCATGTATGGAAATTCGATTTTCTTACAAGCAACAGAAAAGAAGCAGCCACAAACAAGAATACTAAATCATTTAAATACAATAAAAATAGACAAAAGCACACTGAACATAAAAAAGAATCTGCTGAAAGGCACAAAGAGAACAACTTTTTTTTGATGACGTCAAGACGACAAAAATATTATTGATCATTTATTTAATTATAATAAATGAGAATTATATTAAATTAATGAGCATCTATAGACGATGTTATTGGACGGGAACGAGATGAAAAAGAAATGAGAAATTGTTTTCTGTCTATCTTCAAATTTTTCTTTAAAATGAGCTAAAATGACGATAATGAGAGAAACTTTTAAGTAGTTGATTTATGGAGGAAGTGAGCATGATTTGACTTTGGTGGTTTTAGATTGACACTTGTGGCTATTTTGTTTGGTCATCTTAGCAAGGGTCCACAATTATTTTAGGTTTCATTTAAGCATCTACCTCAAAAATCTTGGAAATGATGATATCTTACACATTGATTCATTTGAGATGCGCCCATTTTATCCACAAACTTAAGTTCCTTCTTTACTGAGCAGGCAGTATCGCTTTTGCTTTTCCTACTTAAAAAGTTTTCAACATTTTTTTTGAAAAAATAATATTTCATAAAGTCAATTATGTCTTCATCATTTTGCAAGTTTGTGTGTCTCTATTGGCTTTTCATTAAAATTCCAAAGCCATAAATGTCAATAGCAATCAACTGAGTTTCATTGTTTTCTATAACAAGTATAATTTGATAACTGAAGCTACTTTGAAGTAATTTTTGTCGTAAGTACTCACTTTTGATTCACAAGAAGTTAAAATCTTTAAGTATTGTTCTTAGCGACGGTTTCAAGGTTATTATAAATACAGGGTTGTCTAGGTGACCCTTGTCTGAAACTTTAAATATTCTTCATTAATGCTTGATTGTTCAAATCCGAAATTTAAGCCGATTTAGGAAAGCTAGACTAGACTAGACATCAAGAGCAACTCTTAGTAGCAACAAATTGCCAAAAAGCAAAATCATTTCTGCTAAATCAAATTTCTTACAAGACAAGTAATGCAGTTCAGTCTAATTTTCGCTTGATTGATCATTAACAAAAGCATGAAACCTCAGCAAAACCTCTTCATTCTCTCAATTTAAATTGAAAGAACTAAAAACATCAAACGAAAATCGAAGCCAAGCTAAGTTGACCGCAATGACAGTGCTGAATGTATATGAACCACAATGTTGTCGTCAATACTGACTTTCTATTCATATCCTGTCATCCATAAGAATTATTTGTGGATATCAAGATGAAGAAGGAAGAAAATTCTCTTTCAATCACTCAAATATCGATGAAAAGGAATAAAAAGGCAATGTGTGCCTGAAGATGCTGAAACTGATAAGTATCTCGTATATGTATTTTTTTCAATTTCAAAAAACCATAAACCGAATAATTTTCATCTCTTTCCAATACAATGATGATTTGACATTTTCTCTTGTCTGTTATGTGAGAAAGTTTTACGGATACAGTCAAAGGAAAAAGATCTTCAGAAAAAAAATATTCTATGGCTCTGTTTGGTTATAGATTCAGGCAATTCTATTTATATGTGTCTCATTGAAATAAAAAATGATATAAAATGATAAGATCATGATGGATTTTTATACATATTGACTGTGTCTGATGCTTTTAGCTTTATTTTGTGGGTTTAAGGCTTGAAGTTGTCATTTTTGGATTTTTGACACGTGGTGTTAGATTAAAATGGATGTTTCAAGCTTTAAATTGACAAATATTGACTTTAAATTGAATTAGAACTACTTTTTCCACTTTTTTCTTTCAGATTTCAAGTAAAAATATCTTAAAAAGTTAATTTCTGCAGAAATTATGTCAAAAAACTTTTCGAAGTGACACAAATCCGCCATCTTGGAAATTTTTCTTTAAGACTTTAAAAATCCTTCGAAAAAAGCGTTTCCATTCATTACAACTGTCCTGAAACTCAAATAACACACCAAATAGAATAGACAGCTTTATTTACAGAATTTCATAAAAAGCAGATTCCACATAAAAGATTTCAGAAAGCATCTCATAAACATTTATCATAAATCAGGTAAAATTGAAGAAAAATTCTTTACCCAGCCTATTTTCGTTCAAAAGCTCTTGTTTACGCAAGGTTTAATGCATAAAATTTGATTTTTCTTTTCAAAGATTAGAGCATAAGATGATGATGTGAAATCAGTCAGTCGTATTTTCGATTCGATGAGGCTTTTGTTGTGTATTGAAGTTTTTTGTTAAAATTTCTTACTAGCTTTTTAGCGCATTTTTGAAACTTGTTTTTTGAATTCAAGAGTTTTTTGTTGTGAAAATTCATTTATTTGGTTAAAAAACAATTGTTAATTATATTATCTCACGTAAATAATATAAAAATGGCGGGATAATTTCAAAAACCGTTAAAGGACAAAAAACTTTTTGCTGTACGTAACGCTTAATATTTATTGAAATACAACGACTATGCTTTGATAAAGGCAAAAATTTAGAGCTGTTTGCTAATTGATTCGCATTTTGATGCTTATCAAATACTGATCGCTGTGTCAAAAATGCGCTGAAGTCTCTCGATCAATAACACGAGGACTTTTGTAATTTTTTTTTAAATCTTTAGATTTTGGAGGACTTTATTAGAAGTATTGGAATGAAAAAGCAATTTTGAACTCACCCTTTTGGCTATGCCGTTGGTATACGCTTCTATAGTCAGCATCAAAGGTTCTAGTATTAAGAAACAGCTTTTGAAGTCTAGATTTGAACAAGTTTTGAATTGAAAAGAGCTTTTGCTTTTTTTAACGGATTATAAAATTTCAAATTTGTGTTTTGGCTATCTCATCGCAAGTCCATCAAAGCTTCATTTTTCCAACTCATCGAAACAACTTTTACTGTTGAGGGTTGAAAGCTTTTCGTTTGATTTCAAAGTTTTCACTATCTTGACTCAACACATGTGTTACAGAGACGACACAATATAAGCTTCAAAAAGAATAAAAATACCTCGAATTAAATATTAATAAAGTATATATATCCATTATTAATTTTTTATTAATATTTGCCCTCTAAATGCAATACAATTCAAAATAAAAAATTAATTAAATTCATTAACAACTCAAATACTTCATTAATCTTTCTATAATTAATTTTCAGAAACATTTTCTTTTAATTAGAAAAATAAAAGTTCTTAACTTGGAACACTAAATTGGGAAACTCATTATTAGAACCTACGATAAAACTTCATTTTATGTTAAATAATTTTCTTTTATCAATTCAATCAACTTCTCACTTCCTTAACATGATTAGTTTCAGTCCTGTCTCAACATTCTATGAAAAATTACTAAAATCTGTCTTCAATTTTATAGTTGGCTGTGGTGCCTGTGTCACAACTGTTTTGTTCTCTTTTGTCTCTGTGTTTGCCTTTTGAATATTTGCTGCCTGCTGTTGACTACTTCTTATGGCTGCTTCCAATTTACTACGTAATTCTGGCGCTTGTCCCATGAGTGTTTTGAATTGCTGTGGATGGGAAAATTGAGATAAGAGGATGTTGAGAGATTTGTGAAGATTAAAATTAATCCGATGGATTAAAAACAAATCGGCCAGATTAAAGTTTAAATCCAACAGATTTATGTTTTCGTTCATAAATGATATCCTGCTTTTAAGGAGATCTGAAGCTATGAATCATCTCCCATTTTCAACTGACATCAATTTAATGAACGACCCCTAAACCCAAACCACCCAGCTCCATAATTACCTGAGGATATTTGGGTCCAATTTTCATCAACCACTGAAGACTCTGCTCGTGCAATTGGATTGTGAATTTTGTTGCAGATCTCAATTGATTCCCTTCCAATAAGAAGCTAATTAAGATTGGCACCAGTAATGTCAACATTTGTATTCCTTTGAATGAATTGGAAAAAATGAAAATAATTAAATGTTTATCGTGATTTAATTTAATTAAATTAAGCATTTTTATGGGACATGAGCTTGTACCTTGCATTAAATCTCCTTTGGAAGGCATTAAAAGTTTGAATGAGAATGTTAATAAAATGTTTATTGGATATGGAAAGAGATATTATACTCACTATTCTGAGGTTCAGCCAACGTAATCAAGGAATCAACTGTCGTAATACTCTCAAATGTTAATGCTAATTCAATCTCATCCTTTGGCATTTTCGTACTTTCAGCATAAAGATTCTCAATAATTCTCGGTGCTAATGCATGAATATATGGCGTGGCAACCTTCAAATCAGCATTAATAAATATCGATCGAATCGTTTGGACGCATTTTAAGCGAATCAAGTTTGAGTCATTTTGGAAGCATTGTCGGAAGAGATTGATTGATGGATATTGGAAATTAGGGAGCATGACAATTTTCGGTGTATGGAGGATAAATACAGCAATAGCTAACATGACAGTCACTTCATCCATTTTCTTATCATCATCAATTCCCGTCTTGGTTAGGTCAATTATTTTCGATAATGCACTTTCCAGGTAGTTTCGCCATTCATCCATAGATTTTTCGTCAGTTGCATACTTGTCTGTGGTCAGTGACTTTAGAAGATGCAATGAGGCTTGCATTGATGCACAATTTGCCAATATTGTATTGTCGTGGATGGATTTCATTGACATTTGTTGAATGACACCGGTTGTAAGGTATAAAATTGTAGGTAGAATTTTCACAGCACCTTCTGCCGTACATAAACGTGGAAGATCTTCAAGTGCCTGTAATGCTGATGCTACAAGCATATTACTGTCATCGTTCAGTTTATAATTTCCATTCGTACATAAACTTGACATCAATTTATCATTCGTTAGACGTGTTGTTTGTGATGGATTCAATTCCGGGCAATAACGAGCGAGAAGACATAAAATCACTTCCAATACAGCATAGCTATGTGATCGTCCTGGCGTTATTTCATGCTCGGGCTTTGATTCTTCTTCAATTTCCTCCTTTTTGTCCTCATTTCTATTGTCTTCTGCATTCTCGATATGATTTCCTTCCTCATCAATATCATTTCCGTTTGGATCCCTCGCTTTGGCATCAAGTGACTCTTTTGCAATCATAATTGACTGCTTGACAATCTCAATAGACAACAATTGAACCTCGAGACTGTCTCTTGTCAAAATTTGCCTATACAATACATTCGATAACTCAACAAGCAATTCCTTTGTATTTGCCATCGTTTTTCGTGCCCATTTAGAATCAAAGATTGTATATAGTGACTGTAGACATGCAATGACACAATCAAGCTTCTCATTTGATCTTGTTGAGCACAGCGATTCCATACAAATTCCAAACATTAGATAAAATCTATCAGCACTTAAACTGCCATGAGATATCGTCTGTGTCTTGACATTCTCGCTATTCTCAAGATCTGATGTATTTGGCTTTAATCCACTCTCAAATCCACCGGCATTAAGCCACAATGCTGACGCATATAGAATTTGTGGCCATGAACTTTGATAATGTGGCTTTGAGCTGATGATTGTGTCAGGTGTATAAAATGCTCCGCCATCATGTGGCAATTGACTATTGTATTCTGGTGGAAGTGAAAGTAATGCATAATCTCTTAATGCTGCTAGCCAATTCCTTGATAAATTCTCAAGTTCAGGTTGAACGAGAGACAACAAACTTTCACCACGTTGCTCATATTCATCAAACATTTCATCATCAGACGGTGTATTGAAGGAATTTGGAATACTTTTAAGTTTCTTAAGAACCAAATTTGAAGGTGATGTGCCATTACTGATCATAGCGACAATATAGACCTGAGCCCATGCCTTTAAAATACTGAGTTTCTCTAATGTCGCCATACTTTCGTTATATAATTGAGTTGAGACTGTCTTTGTTTGTAGCTTACTTAAACTTTGTACCAAAAGTTGATGGACACGACGTAAATCATTCAAATCTCTAGCGACACCCGATCCAATCCATGCACTACAAACTTCACAAGCTGCTGCTGTAACGTGTGATGGAGTTTCATTAGCAAATGCTGGCCTTAAAGCAGCTCCAACTTGAGCTTGAAATTGTTCGAGCAATAAATGTCCTGGAAATTCAGGTTCTGGAACTCTTGCGAACTTGTCAATTATTTCCTGTAAAGTTTTCAATCCTTCGAGTCTCAATTGATCAGAATCACTTGTTGCCGCCATAAATGACATCCTTATTAAGTCAGAGAGATGCAAGACGAGGAAATCACCGCGACTATTTAAATCCTTTGCAGCCATCAAGTCAAAATGTTTAGGACTAGCCTGTTCACATGTTGTGATGATTTTCCTGACACATTCTGCTGCATAAACTCTAGTTTTCCATCTTGGTTGTACAGCTGGATGTGTCTGTGTTGGTTCATCTGTATGAAATTCAGCATTATCATCATCTTCGTCACCGTCAGCATCTTTCGATGGTTCAGCTCCAGCTAAATCACTTTCCAAAGCCACAGTTAATACTCTCTTACACATGCTCAACCATTGAGATAAATTATCGGCAGCTAGCATTTGTAGCATCGACGTAATTGTATCATGGATATTTTTAATCATTTCCGAATCAGATTCAGTATCCAACATTCCAAATAACATGCCCATTAAACCGTATTCAGACAATAGACCATCGTCGTCAGCAAAAATAGAAATAGCATGTTCTGTTACTTCCTTTGCTTCTCTCGTTGTCAATTGACGTAAACATGCAATAGCTGCTTTACGAAGCATCAAATAATTACTAGATAATGTACGACATAAAGTCGGTACGAGTGATGATAAATTGACATGACGTGGCGCAAAGAGATGAATCTGCTGTAAACAACCAGTTGCTTCAGCTTGAACGAGTGGATCTGGATGAGCTTGCATTAATGCACAAGCACAAAGGAAGTTTGATCTAATAGAACAAATTGATGTTGCATTTCCTTGAAGTTCGGGTCCAATTGTTGTGATTAAAGCTGCCAACATTCGTCCAATACATTGATGGACATCAACATGAGAATGTGAGACTGACAAGAGTAATTTCAGTCCTAATGATAATGCAGGCTCGACATATCCACGAAACATTGGACCACCAGAATCAATAATTAATGATAAAGCATATAATGACCATACTTGAACGACTGGAGATGATCCATCTTGTGCTAATGCTAATAAAATTGATACACTTGTGTTTAAATGCTGTGACGATCCCATTCCACCAACATAACGATGTAGACATCCAAGGGCTAATGAATGTCCAGTTCTGGTCACAACATCGCGTGCTGATTTCAATTTATCGAAGCTTGTCTGTGCCAGTTCTGCTGTAAATCTTGAATCGCCAACAACTTGTGCAATTCTTCCCAATGCCTCACCAGCTGAACATCTCAAAATTGGATTCGTACTCACGAGAGCATTAATAATCAAGCTTGTTGCTGATTTCTTTACATCATCAAGTCCAATAGAACTTTTACTGTCTGTAAGTCCTTTTAATCCACAAAGTAAAGCAGTAAAAATGTTCATTTGAACAGCCTCTTGTCGTTGACTCTTTGCATGCTTTATACATTCACTGAAATGTTCCAACATTTGAAGACGATGCTTATTGGATACACGTGAGAATATATTGCCAAATAATGTGGCACTCATATCGATAACTGTAACTCCCAATGGAAGTGGTCCTGGACATTGTTCGAATTTAGGAAGTGGACGATAAAGACAGCAAGGATCGTGCTCAAGAGCTCCAGATCCGCTTGCGCTATTAGGTTGTAGCTGTAAAATTGGAATTAAGAAATGTTCGAGCTAGTCAAGGGATTCATTTAAGGTTTCTAGGCTGATAGTAAGCGATATATTTTGGAACTGGACGTAAATATTTTATGGAATATGATGATTAGCATATTGAAGCATAATAAAAAGCCACACAGCATGGTTTAAATGGAAAACCTGATTAATTGAAATCGATTTTATAATGAAATTTGCATTGATGGCTTTGGGGTTGATTGTAAATCAGGTCAATGGATTTGCAGGCATTCAATGCTTGCCTTCTTTTTAAATAATGAAAGAATAGAGCTCCTAGATCTCAGCAGTAACTTATATTAAATGCATAATTTGTTTTAAAATCCCCAATAAATGCAGAAGTCATCCAGTTCCAACCAAATCATAACACACATTTTAATTACCATCTCAGCCCAGAAACAATAAACTTTTATAGAGTTAGTAACAATGTGTTATAGTGAATAATAAAAGCTTAAATGACAAAATTGATACAATCCAGTGAATCATATTCAAAAACCATAAAAAAAAGTAATACAAAGCAGAACATTGCAATTTGTGTGATGAGAAAAACAAAGGAAGAAATAAAACAATGAAAAAGAGAGATCCAAGTGACACGAGCTAGACTGGCAGTCAACTGACATTAAACTTCCAGGCACATAAAATAAAAATTCAATATTCAACAGCTGCTTGCCAATCCAATTTCATGACACTCGCAATAGTGAGTTAATCACACGTCAGTAGATCATTCACAAGACTTACATGATCATCAGCTTTTCTATTTGGTTCCATCTTTAAAAATTTTTTGTTTTTTTGTGAATGTTAAATTAAAATAAATTTCAAATTAAAAAGGAAGTAAAAATGAAAATAAACATAATTTTTAAAGTCTGTTAGTGTCTATTTGTAATAGAGCCTTGAGAAAACTTTCAATTGAACGCTATGTCTAGCAAAAATCAAGATCCAGTAAAGATCCAGTTCAAAATTCAAAGACCAAACCATGCAATACCCAAAACAATCAAAAGTTTTTTCAAGACTCAATCTAAGCTTAATTCTATCAACTTACTTGATCCTCAATAGCTCTATGTTCTGTCTCTTGAAGCCACGTTCCCAAAATGATAGAATCTTGTGCATTACACATGTCTCTTAACAATGACGTTGTTGTATTTGCTGGATTTTCAGTTAACGTAAATTCTGATACAAGCATTCTCAGAAGATGAGTATAGGAAGATTCAAGGGAATTTGATGGAAGCAATGATAAAGTCTCGTATAGTCTTAATCGTACCATTGCCGACGGTGCCTTCAAATGCTGACTGTAGCTTTTCACGATTGGCGCGATGCTGGATATTGAAAAGATTAAAATTAAGATATAGAATGCTTGGAATCGTCCTTAAATACTTACTTAACAAGCATCGCCAAACAGCTCTCAACTGGAGTCAGCAATCTCCTTATTATATCGTCAGTGACCAATTCCTGACAATTCTGTACGAAACTATGCATAGCAGACAATGCACCTGCCCTTCCTTCCAATGTAACTTGCCATGTAAATGCATCACCTCGAGCCTTTTCCGATTCAAGTTCTTTTGTTGACCTTGGAAATGCATTTCTCCATAACAGCAACATTCTTGGCAATAAGCCTTTAACAACTGAATTACCGAGTGACATAATTGAGCCAATAAGTAACCATCCACTTTGCGTACGATTCAGACTTAATCGTGAGTTTTGACTAGCTGTTCTTAAAAGTTCTTCAGCTGTATTGAAAATTATTTTTCCTTTTGTATGTGGAATTCCGAGCGGTGAGTATCGTACACTTCCAACGACTGCAGCTAATGCTCCACAATATCCTGACACAGCATCTGGTGAGGATCTCATCTTCTCAATTGCTTCCAAAAATCTATCAATTAATGGAGTAATTTGACTTGGAACAGCAACACAGACACATCTAAGACACCAAGCAGCTGCCAATCGTGCAGCAAGACATGGATGTACTAAAACAGCACAAACAGCATCAATGAAATTTAATGACTGATCTGAAAGTAAATTTTGTGCTGTTGTTCCCAATCCTAATGTTAAACTTCCCAATTCCTGTAAAGCACAGACGAGCAGATGTTGACTAAATAATGTTTCTTGATTTGCATCCTTTGCATTCTCTGGATTAAAATCAATTGAATTCATTTGTTTGGCAATGATATGAATCAATTCCTTGCATGCACTTGATTGTGCCTTCTCGCCCAACATTTTGCCAACAACGGATCGTAAAATGAAATTTATGCATTTTCTTGAGTAAACAGATTCGACATGAGATGATGCGGCTTTTGGATTAGCGACTAAATCCAGCACGTGTATTAAAAATGTTTGCATATTCCTCTCGAGCCATACTGAGCCCATTGTTTCGACAAATACAACATATCCATGTGTAACACCAACACGAACTTCACGATTTGTTCCAGATGATCCTTTAATCATTTCGCCAGTTCCCTTAAGGAACGATGCACCGCCACGTAAAAATCCTGACATTAAAAATCCAAGAGCTTCATCTAAAGATGTAAGCCTCAATTTTCCAGCTGATGATGATGACGTCATCGATTGATTCATCATTGGATTCTTTCCCGTTGTCTGTTGATGTAATTGTGTTTGTGCTATTAAATTACCAAGTAATTGAGCAATGGCACATCGAACTTCATAAGTTGATCCTTCAAATCCACGAAAACACAATGATGCCATCGATTCCAATTCGACGGTAAACAAGAACGGTGCATGTTTGAGCATTTCGAGTAAACAATTTGAGGCAGCCACACGAACAGTCATCACACGATCCGATAAGCATACACGTACACATTTATAAATCTCTTTGTGGACATTCGATATTGCATTTCCCATACCAGCGCAAACTTTCTCTAATGTTATTAAAATTTCTATTCTCATTTGAGACTCGCCATTTCGGAGTGACTTTAAGAGAATTTGGACAGTCTCTTCGTATGACCTTCCCATCATTCGACCTAGTTGCGCGTACATTGCTCCGACAACGCTCACGGAAGCTCTGAAATAAAGAAGGGACATAAATTGTAATCAATCAATTTAGGTGCGGCATAAATCTTTTGGTTTTGGTTCAGGGGTGTTAGAATGGATATTAAGGCTGATTATGAGGTTTAAAGGATATGACATCTAGATTTTTTATCAAACAAGATAAATTAATTGATATAAATCTGGTTTAGTAAACACAACTCTGAAATTATCGACTTACAACTTTGTTGACAGGAAACTTGGCGAGTCATCCTTATTCTTCAATATGTCATTACATTTATTGACAGTTTCAAACAATAGATACGTATCACCGACTGAGAATAACGTTGCCAAACATCTTGCGATTAATTTTCTTGTTGGCGGTCCCGGCGAGTTCTGCATGTGAGCAGTTAGCTGCTCAACCAATTTCTTTTGACATCCTTTTATATCAGCTTTGTTGGCATTGACCAAGACCTTCTCTAAAAATCTCAGCCATTCAAAGACAAAGACGGGCCTCTTTTCTGGTGGAATTTGATTGTAAGCCTCCTCATTCAGTGTAAGGCTGTGTGACAATTCCATTATATAATGATATGACTCTTCTTCTTGATTATCTGTCAATTGATTGCTATTATTGTTGATGCTATTGGTGATGGAAGCATAGGAACTATAAAAAGAGATATGAAAGAAAATTGGAATGAATAAAATGTCGTAAAGAACTTTTTTTTCGTAACACGAAAGCTTGAAGGCATCAATCGATTTTTACTTTTCCTTTCTTTATCTTTTTGCGTGTAATTTTGGATTGTTGTGTTGATTTTTGTAAAGTTTTTAAGGGTGGACTTATGGATTGAAGAAATTTAACGTATTTTCTCGATTCAAATTTTAACGGTTTTTAAAAAATTAAATATTTTGAAAACTTGGTTTGAATTTTTGACAACCATTAAATTTTGAATTTTTGAAAATCGTTAATGTTTAAAAACTAGAATAAAAAAATTTTAAAATTAATTGCACCCAAACCTCAACGTCAAGGATAGCCGTTTCAAGTAATTTCCTTTTCCTTCATTCTACACATACACGAGCTACATTAAAAAACTTCTCTGATATATGGTTTTAGGCGTTCCTTTCATGAATCTACATAAACGCCGGAAACAAAATTTACATTTGATATTCAAATCATGATTTTTTCGTACTGAATAATGTTATTCGTTATGAAAGTCATCGAATTTAGTAAAGTGTTTTATTATGCAGCTCGAATTAATGACTCTTTTGAGATTTTTACTTTCAACATTAAACAAAGTATTGCTGTTGATTTACTAAAACTTTATGGAATTGAATTATGACTGTGCTTTGATGTTGCTTGTTGAATTGAGTTATGAGATTTTAAAGAGATGAATAATCGATTGATTAAGAGTTGGAATGAAGTTTTTGATGTTTTTTGACTGTTTTGTGGCAGTTCTGTAATCCTTTTTGGTGTAATTACTTTTATGTTCGCTCAATGTGGTTTTAATAATGGAATGATACTCAAAATATACAAAATAAGTCTTTGATCAAGCTTAAAAACTAAAACCTAACCTCAAAATATTTTCAAAAGCTATAAATCATAGTTTTACTACAAAACTATAGTTGAGGGATGTAGCTTGAAGTCAAAGAGGTCAGAATATCACCTTCAACGTCAGATCTACCCAACCTAAGCTTATGAATCTTCAAATACACTTCAATCTCCCCACACAAACATCCAAATCTCCATCATTATCATCAGCAGACAAAAAGCACATTCAATTCAATTAGCAAAGCAAAGAAAGTCATCATTGTTGACACACAGCAAACAAATTTTACCTAATACGCTGCATCAATGATGATTTCATTGAATTAATGTTATTAATAGCCAAATTCATATTGTTGATTATCATCCTATTCTCCATCTTTTCTTCCTTTTTGCTGTCTTGTTTAATCACCGAATAAATTAATTGATGTTTATGCTATTTCATCTATAATATAGTAGACATAGTCATGCATTTTAGCATCGAATATTTTTTTTTATATAGAAATTAAGTATACTTTCAAGTTTGTTATTGTTACTGATTAGCATAATTTATGGCAAATAAGGAATGTAGTTTAGTGGAAGTTATCATGGAGTGCTTATTGATTTTTTTTAGTGTAAGTAGTAGCAGGTTTAGTTTCGGAATTGAATTTTAAGGGCTTTAGATTTTAATCTTCAGTTTAATTGAAAATGAAATAAAAGAGTGTGGTTTTTCAAGGATAGCAAAAAGTTCGGTTTACCAATGACGTCCCTTCCCGCATAAAGTGGAGAAATAGTAATATATCTGATGATTTATCTATCCCAACTTCAGGATATCACTTCGGGGCCGTTCACTTATTACGTTACGCAAAAAACCGACTTTTTTCACCCCCCCCCCCCCCCCCCTTCTCTGAACATTCATAATTTATTTTATTTTGATAATTTTTTATAGGTAGTTATTAAGAACATTTTTACATAACAATATATTTTTCTAGAATTCCAAATTGAAATGTATTTACTATTTTAATATTTTTTGGATGTTTAATAGGTTTGAAATCATTATCGATTTTATGATTAATCATTACTAATTTTGCAATCGAAATTTTAAATCTGTTGAATCTTTTGTAGCATTTACTAAAGTTCAAAAATATAATCAAAAATTTTACAAGAAATTTTTTTATTCAGAAAGATTTTTTGAATATTTCAAATAAAATATTAGTTTATGGAACTTTTACAATGCAACAATGCAATGTTACTTAAAAGTATAAATTTTTTTTTTGCATTTTTATAATTCATTATATTTTTTTGAGTTAATTAACAAAAAAATTAAGAAATAATAATGTTAAGCTCTAAAATGTATGCTTAACTGCTTATAACCACCAAAAAATTTCATTATCTTAGAGAAACGCTTAGGATAACTCAGTTTATTTTGTATTCTAGAAAAACAGGAAAACAGCTGTTTTCCACAAACCCTATTATCAATTTATAGATAAAAATTTGGCGCCAAAACACAAATATCAAAAAAATACAATATTTCTTTTAAATCTAAAAAGACTGTGAAATTTCTTTTGTATTTTTTTTTTTTCTTAAAAATCAAACTATTGTACAGCTAAATAGGTCAGGTTTTGATTGATTACTATAAGTATTCTAATGAATTATAGGATTGAGATATAAAGCAAAAATTTGTTTTTTTTTTAAAGAAAATTCAAAAATGTCATGAAAAATATTATGCCCGATCGAATTTTGGAAAATTCAATCAACTTTGAATGTAAATATCACAATGATGGGATCATATTAATCATCATATGAATGACAGATTTCGAGAGATTTACTTTTAAACTTATGATTGATTTAATTTTGAAAATTTCCACAAATTATGATTGTATTTTAAAGTCTTGTTAACCAGTTTTCTATTGATTTGTTACTTTAGATAACAAAAACTATGTATTTCTTAGCTATCAAAAGTGATCTGGACATTCATAAATCATTAAAAATTTAAAAACGACAGTTAGAACGTTACATACTTCTTGACACCCCCCCTCCCCCTTTGTTACAATTTTTTAAACCCCCCTAAAATGCGAACGTAATAAGTGAACGGCCCCTCCGAATCCAGACACGTCTTTAGTTTCATCAAGATTCCCGCCAAATTATAGAATCAGATCCTAGGGATAGAACTAAGAAACTACTAGCTTGGAATATAACTAGAATCTTACCATAAAGTACCCCAAGTAGTGTCAAACATAGTTACTACATAAAAACCAAATAAACATAAACAATATGCTTAAATACAGTTCATTTTTCAAAATCTGTTTCATATTATTACACAAAGTCTTATCATCAAGCAAATAAAATCAAGATTTCAGCCTACAGCCGTCGTCTCTAGCAATAATCTTTTTATTGTGGTTGTAAAAACAAATGCGAATGGGAAGCTATTCTCGTGTTTCAAGGGGGAGGCATTAAAGGCACGCGAATGTTTAACTTCCTTATTTCATATGGGAACAGTTCCGCAGCATGAAAGGTGGCACGAAAGTGTTAAACTTTTCGCTGAATGGAAGGCAAAAAAAATACACATTTTAATCCCTCTTTTTGTGCTGTTCATTCACCAATGTTGTGTTTATTGCCATTTATGTGAAATGCGAAGAAGAAATTTTTCATCGTAATATTTCAAATCATTCTGAGCCTTTTCTTTTAATGCCTCTGCAGTTTTTGAGTGAAAAATCTGACTTATTTTAGATTTTGTGGTTGGTTCCGCAAGAAATTATCCATTAAAACAGTGAGATTGAAGATTATGTGCTTAAATTTTATGAAATCTAATCATTGCCACTTTTCAGACTATTCATTCATCTATAAAATTCAAGTTCAAGCTTTAAATGCGTTTAAATTCCAATTTAAAATCTCCAAGTGGGAGCATCATTGACAAGAATTAGACGCAGCTATAAAAAATGTTATTCTCATAAAATAGACTAGAGTGCTTAAATAAACTCTAAATATAGCCGAAATAATCATTATAATAAACGACTCGCGTTTATTCTTAAATGACTAAGCAGTTTCACCACGCTTTTGTGCTTAAATTGCATGACTTTTGCCAAACATAGTTGATTTCTTTCATCGTACTGTTACTCAATCTATTATTTACTACGACTAATATAACGTTTTGAATTTGTAATGATGATCATTAATCGATAGATATGGGTTGTATGAATAGTTGATTTGGTTTATTCAGCGATGAGTTGAATATTGAAAAGGAAAAGTTCAAATTGAAATGTTTTTAGTGAAAATTCTATGCTTTTAGGTAGGTTTTAAGGCAGAAAATTACTTTAAGTGACTCTTGCTGTCTTGAATAATGGAAATTAACTAAATCATAGGCAGAATATTAGGTTAAAGAATTTTTAAATTAAGAAAAACTTTTGAAGTGAGGACATTATTGACAAGGATTGTTAAAAATATTTTTCGACATTTCAAACACTAAACAGCTGATTTTTAAGCAGGAAGTCACGAAATTCAAGATTTTTTAAACCTGAATCAGAGGAGATCGATCCCAGTGTAGATAAACATCTTTATTTTCTTACATGCACCATAAACACTTCCACAAAGACAACGTTTCTCACTTTAAAGCTTGAATTTCAAGGTTATTCCATTAAATCCAGATTAAGTTGTCTCAACTCATTAGAAGCAATTTCTATAATTGCCATAATATAGCAGAAGGGATAAAGTTTGCCATAAATTATCCATCTAATATTAGTATGCGACAGAAACTATTTTAGTCAGCAGAACTCATAAAATCGTTCATACTTCTTTTTCTCGCATGAATAAACAGATGAAAATTTGCCAAAAATACAATCAACTATGGTTACGACTTTAATAATTTATCATTCGAATTTTACACAATTTTAAGAAGATTTTTTTCCACTTCCATCACGAGAATCCAAACAAGCTTATTCACATCACATTCACATTATAACAAGTTCTCATAATCTCAGCGAGAAATGTACACAGAAATGGAAAGTGTATTTATTTTTTATATGATAACGTTGAAAGCTTTCAATCCGAAAAAACCGTAAAGAAAAGTCCTTCCGTCTACATTTTACAATGCTCGAGAGAAGACTAAAAAATTGCGATGTTGAGCGAGCTTTTCTTTTCTTTCCTCGTTATATGTGAGAATGGAAACTATTTGCACAGGAAGAAAATAAAAATTTATTCGTGCTTTTTCTCAGAAAAGAAAGCAAGAACTCCCAGCCGATCGAAAAGGTTAAAGGTTTTCTGATTCGGAAGTTTTAAAGGCATGCATTGTGTACTGTATTGGTGATTTCTAGGTTAGAAGTTTGAAAACCAGATTTAGTTGGTTTGAGAACTAGATTGAGATGGTTTTGGAATCAAATTAAATTGGTTTAAAAACTAGACTGAAATGGTTTTGCAACCAGATTGAATTGGTTTGAGAACCAGATTGAGTTGGTTTGAGAACCAGATTGTTGGTTTAGGAACAAGATCGAGTTTGTTTTGAGTTAAGCAAGCCGATGACACCTTAATCTCTGACCCATAACTCTGTCCATTAAAAATTCAAAATCCTCTCTTAATTCTCTCAAATCGAATTACATTTCTCTCCCGAAAAACAATATGTTAACAGTCCTAAATGGCAATCAGAAGATAAAAACATTATCAAAAATTCAATGCGTTTCTCCTAATTTCCTCCATTTACTACAACTCAATTACTACTTCTACATGTTTCACAGAAGCAAGCAAGAAGACAAAAAAAGCAATTTTCATTTTCATTCTATTTTTTTCCTCTATCTGAAAATTGCTTGTCCGAGAAAATATTTTTCTCAGCATTTTCTTCTTCATTTCTGTCCCATTTACGATGGATAAATTTATTTTTGCCATATGCAGTGCTTGCGACTATGAATATCATAGTAGCAACAAACCGCATGCATTTGTTATAATTAAAATTTCATATTGTCAGCTATTTTTTTTGAAGAAGCGCGCAAGTTTTCCGGCATTGAGAAACATTAAAGTTTATTTTGTTTTTGTTTGTTGTGGTTGTTCAATGATAAGTTGAAAATACACTTGACTCATGAGAATAGAATAAAGATAACAAGTTGATGAAAGTCGTGAACGATAATGTTAAAGATAGCGCAGTTTTTTTGAGAATTTGATGGATCTAGAAGAGTCAACTGATTAGAAATGCGATAAATTGATAAGGAAGCGATTTAATGTTGGGTAGGACTGTCTAACAAAGATTATGTTGAGCTAATAAGGAAACCAGAGCTCTAATCGAGGATTTTTAGCATTTATGATGCAGAACTGCTCAGTTTTGTACTAATTGTAAGTTAAGTCTTAAAATCTCAATTAATGAACAAAATGTTTAAATTTCTCTTTGTAGTGATTGCAAACTATAGTGATAACAACCCTAGTCAAAGGTCAGAATACTCAATACTAAGTTACCTAATTTAAACAATTGATTTTCAAGCATAAGAACCTGCGTAACTGATTGTCTTACGCAATAAAAAATTTATTTTCGTAATTCACGTGTAGATTATTACACCAAAAACGTATGCACTACTCCACATTATTGGATATACAACCATATAAACATTAAATATAAAATCTAACAGAACTCAAAATAGTTTAAAGTCAATAAATTTCACATAATAATTCTCAATTAAATTTCCTTAATTTAAACGAAAACCACTGACGAGGTAGAACAACTTAAACTTTCCGGAGAACTAACAAAGAAGCACCTGAATAAATACTCAATATTTTATCATTTGTTATCTCTCAATTATCTTTATCTAATTGTTTTCTTTAATGGTAAATTTTTAATCAGCACGTTTAGACATAGATTGCTTACAAGATCGTAACTTAAATCACAAAAAAGATAAAAAGGTTACGTCAAATTTCATTTAAACTTAAATTACAACAATAGACTTTATGTCACGAACCACAAGTAAAAAAAGAATAGGAAGGGAAATGGCCTTTAGTGTTGATGTCCTACAGTAAGAATAAGTGGCAACAAAGCTCCTGAAATCAATGTAATAAGTTCTAAATTAGATAATCCAGGAGGTGGTTTGGAAGTGATTGTTCCTTGCTCTAAATGACTATAATGTGGACCGGACGGTGCGTGATGGAAATGAGTTTGCTGCATTAATTCTGGTAACACGTGTACAGTTGCTACGTATAAGAAAGTTCCTGCCGAAAACAGCATAGCCACAGCAGTCGCATTAACATTATTGAGAGTCTCTTTTTGCTCTTGTCCAATACCAAAGTATGTGATTAAAGTCAGAAGTGGAGCTGATAATGAAAATATTCCTAAATGTTTTCGAATTCGTTGCCTGTCGATTCCTTCGTGAAGAAGAAAGCTCACAAGTCCGAATGCAGCTGGTGCTTTGTGCAACATAATGGCTAAGAATACAATCATTTCTACATCTTGATGACTTGTCTTTGCAGCAGCACCTAAAGCAATTCCATCAGCTGCTGCATGAACAACTAAACCAATTGTAGCTGTTGAATTCTTCTTTGCATCCTTCATGTCTGGATTGTGTGTATGTCGTGAGGATATCTGATCAACAAGCATCATAAATACAAATCCCAAGACTAGCGATAATCCAATTGTCTTTGAAAAGTCTTCTGGCTCATCATGTTCAGTTACTTCCTTTCCATGATTTTGAGGTGGCGTTTTGTCATTTGCATATAATGACCGCACACCTTCTGGAATGATTACGATTAAAGCTGTTCCAACAAGGAGTCCAGCACCGAGTATTGAAACAATTTTAAGTTTGGCCTGAATGTGAAAAAGTTTCTTTTTAAAATCGTCGAAAATATTTTGAAGAAAATCTGTGATTTTACCTCTGATAAATTTACGACTAATGGAATGCTTCCAGCTAAATATGATCCTACTAACATCACAATAACTAGCAAAATTAAGATAACTGTGTCATCCATTTTTATTTTTTTTTCAATCTTTTTCTCTGATTTTCTCTTTACAAAATTTCTAATTTTTGATTTTTAATGGTGTTGCGCGTTCTTGTTGTGAAAAATTACATTAATTATTGTAGTGTCACTTATCAAGACATACTTTATATGTTACTAAGTTATTCTAAAATACTTAGACGTGTTGTTTGGTAGAAAATTTAAAATTTTATGAGTTTTCTTTCTATTTTTTTGATGATGTTTTATTTTATTTTCACTTTTTGTTGTTGGATTTCTGTGTGGTGAATATAAAATGTTGGGAGGTTATCGCATTTAGTTGATTATGACGCTTTTATGGTAGGTTGAAGACTTTTACAAAAAATGTATTTTTTAACGGATTTTTGAAATTCAAATAATAACGGTTTTCAAAAATTCAAATGAACTGAACGAAGATGAACTTTGTGGTTTACTGAACAGTTTCGTTGAAAATTTCAAAAGTCCGAAAAACGTTAGACAGTTCAAAAGTATAAAATACGTTAAAAAATTTGAAATTCCAACATATGTTAAAAACTTGAGATCCTTTCAATTTTAGGAACTGACACATAGTCATGCAGCAAACAACAGCACATATTCTACCATAATATGCTTATACTATCGTTGGTGGATAAAATCGGAGAGAATAATTTTGGAGAATTTTCGAAAAATCAGAATCTTATCAGAATTAAAAACAAATCCCAATTTTATTATATTAGCTACATTATAAGCAATTGCACGACTATCACTTAATATTGCTGAATCGACAAAAGCAACGCAAGCAAAATTGATTAAAAGTTCCAGCATTTAAACTTGATAAACGTTCGCTGATTGCTTAATTAACGCCTACGATTGTGATACATTCTCAGCACTAAGTATTTATGAGACTTGTTAAGAATAACATTATTCATACTTTTAAATGTAGACTTTTAAGTGGATTTCCATACAAAGAAAAGAAGCTATTGTCAGCACTTTGTCCAGTTTAAACTTTGTTGGGTCGGTTTTAAGAGGGTTCCAACGATGCGCATATTAACGAACCGTAGCTAAAGCTAGTTGAACAAACTGCTATATTTCAAAACAGAAACTGTCAGTTTCTTTTCAAATGAATTTCGACAGTTATTTTTCAAATATTTAATGACAGTTATTTCTCAAATATTTTCTAATCGTTATATTTCAACTTTAAGTGATCTTATTAAGTACTTATTCGACTTTTATGCTAGGAAATGCGCTTCATCCAGTCCGGAATGATCACATCTTTACTACTTTTTCTTCTTTAAAATTACTAAAAATAGAAAATTTTCTCAATTTTCATTAAAACTATGATTCACTGTCGATTTACTCGATTGATGCCTTTTATTCAAGCCTTATTATGTTGTTTAATTATCTCAAAAGCTTTAATTCACTATGTTATTCATGAAAATTTGCAAATAAAAAATTCAACAAAACAAATTTTTAATTTTTGAACTCAAACTCACTTTTCTTTAATTTTTGATGATATATTCGATAATTCCTTGATTCATCACTTGATTGCACACCACACTACACAATTTAATTCACTCTAGACACTCAGAATCACGATATTTTCGAGAAAAATGAATTTTATTAAATTTCCTTTAATTTTTCTTCTTATTTTTCACAAAAACTGTTGAGACGTTTTCAAAAAAAACCGTTGAAAGGTTTCAAAATATTCTGAAAGGTTTCTATGATCAGCTGTTGGGAATTGAGAACATGTGACGTGCACAATAAAATATTTTAATTCATGTGGGTATGAAAAATACTTGAAAAGTTGATTTAATTGTATAAATTATTAAAAACTTACCGGTTCAAAATTTTTTGAAACTATTGTAATTTTTAAAGAAAGTTCAAATTTTTCAAGAACGTTAACAGTTTAAATGTGTTTTGACTGTTAAATTTAATGAGACACATCTAAAACCCAAGGAGGAGGTAGGAGGAACTTACTTCTTTCAAAGTAAGTAAGACATACTTTATGAATGACTCCTTTATTATTGTGTTGGCAGTAGAATCGAAACTTGTTTCCAATATTTGTACAGTACGTAATAGGTGTTAAAGTCCAGTAAAAATGTCTTGGATATCAAAAGCTGAAAACCTTTTAAATAATATAGACCAAAAAGCAGCATCACTAATTCAACAGCAACAATTAAAACCAATTGAAGAAAGTGAAAGTGATAATACACAGAAAAATCTATCTAATTCACAAGGTCTTCCAAAGATTCCATCATTTTCTAAAAATATGCTGGTTCTATCCAAAACAACACCCAAAAAGTCAACAAGAAGTGATCATACTGATTATGATTCATTTTCTGAAAAATCAATGAGCTCCAGACATACAGTTGTTGAGAATGACGATGATGATGAATATTCAGAGCCAATTGATAATGAATTAAAGAAAGCACCATCAAATGAAAGTTTTAGTGCTGAAAAGGAACTAGCCACAGTTAAAATATTAATGTCAGAATTAAGGTCAGAGAACAGCGAGTTAAAACATGAAGCTGAAGCCTTAAATGAGCAGCTCAAGGCAAATGCAAGTGTTATGAAAAATGATGACCTTGAGAGCCTTTTAGCGATTCTAACAGACGAAAAACGTGACTTAACAATGATGAATCAATCTTTAGAGAGTTCAAATTCCAATTACATCAAGACCATATCAGAATTAGAAAGTAGCATAATGAAATACCAACAGAATGAAAATGAGTTGAAGCAAAAACTTGAATACGCGAGAAATGAGACGGGAGACATCAATACAGAACTGCAAAATTATAAATTGAGAGCACAAAATCAATTGCAAATGAAAGAGAGTCTAATACATCAATTAAAATTAGGGAATCAAGTGGCTGAAGATGGACAGACTGAGACATCGAGTGATTCAACTACACTCCAAATGGAAATTGACCAAATCAGAAATGAACGTGATCATTTGCAGTCTGAACTGAATCTAATGAAGAAAAGAATCGATGAATCTAGAAATTTCATTGAAAAAATGGAGCATAAGCATAGAATTATGGTTTCAGATTACGAAGATAAGATCACTAATCTAGATGAGACAATTCAACAACTTACAATGCAATCTACAAATTATGAAGACGAGATAAGACTACAAAAACAAGAACTGACTCACGTGCGAGAGGAAATGCTCAAACAGAAAACTCACTTGACCACAAAGTTGCACGAAAAAGAGAATGAATTGAAGCGGCTCAAAAATGCTTATCGTGAATCACAAGTAAATGCCGAAATTGAAAATAGAGTGCAGTCATTGACGCAATCATTGATAACGAAACAAAATAATTTGGAACTAGTAACAGCTGAGAAAAATGCACTGAGACTTCAATATGAGAAACTTACGGTATGTCCTTAGAATTATTTTGTTTGTACTTTAGATCCTTTATGAATTCATAATATGCCTTTAAACTATCATTTCGTCTTATTTTAGACACAGCACCAAGATCTTCTAAGACAATTCCGTAGTCAGAGACCACAGATGTTAAGTTCAAACGAAACAGACGACGTAAAATCATCAACATCCAACTTCTTGACAATAAATCCATTCGATTCCAGAGTCTCAAGGAGAGTTAAACGAGCTTATTCACAATTTGACCAACTTGGTATTAGATTCAGTGCATTTCTTAGACGATATCCATTAGCCAGGGTTTTTTCAATCGTTTATGTCTGCTCATTACATTTATTTGTTTTATTGGTTTTACTACAGTCGACGCCTTCACAGTAAATACTTTTTTTTTTAAATTCCTATATTTTGATGTTTTTGTGGAAGTTCTTATGAAACTTGAAGGATTATCTAGGCATGATGTACCTAATTTATGTTGAAATTAGTTTTATAAGCGTTGGACGTTAAAATCTTAAAGTTTTATGAAGTTGAAGCTGATTTGTTTAACTACAAATGCTGTTCTTACAATTATTTGATTAAAAGCTATTTTTGGTAGGTACATCCTACCTAGATTTTCATAAGAGAATGTTAAGTTCTCACAATCATTGCTATATTATTGACATTTACCCAATTCATTCATAAAACAAGAATAAATACTTCTTAGAAGTTTAAATTCATTAAGAATGTCATAGGTCTTATCCATCTTATCCAAATTCTTAAATTATAGTCCCTTGGAATTTTTATAAAATTTTTTTTGTCAATATGTGCCACAAATTTCTATAATTAGTTATTATTTTTGCTTCAAAGCCACTAAAAACTTCCACAAGCACATCCACAATTATTTATCATCGTACATCTAATAAAATCGTAATCACATTTAAAATATTTAATGGATAATTTGTTTCATTGCCAAGTCAACTTGAAGCTGAATAAGCGCGAGATTCTCCTCCACAATTTCTCTTCCTAGCAGTATCCTTTTCTGCTCTAGCAATGCATTCTCTTTAATATAGTGCTCGACAATTCTATCGAATTCGGGATCATCAGCTGTTAAGCTTGTTTGATGTTCAACATTATTGGCAACTTGAGGTTGAGTCTCCAGCATACGCTTCAGTTTTACGCATTCTGCTCTTTCTGCACTAATTCTAGTCTGAAGCTGCTGCTTCCAACTCATTAGTTCCTAGAAGAAAATTTATTAATGTCAATTGAGTTTGATTAGCATGGAATTTTAACTGATTTGACACATCATTTGGTATTTAAAATTCATGCATGACATATTTCAATCGGCATAACTTTATCTTATATCGTACCTGATTTTCAAGCTGTAACCGTATCAGTGTGTGATAGTCGGGATGTTCTTTGGGCAGCATATACAATCCATTCTCAGCAATATAAATTGTTTCTCCAATCGATGATTCATTCGTCTGTATCGTATCATTTTCTTTATGCTCATCACTGGAAACAATTGGGTCACTCGTCGTCATTGTTTCTCTCTTCGATTGATCATCATCATCAGGTCGTCGTAATGTGAAATCAATAGCTTCCTCTATGGCATCTGTATCCATGCTTTTTTGCATCGAATCTTGTTTCTTCTCAAATGTTCGCAACTTGCGCTATGAACGACCAATAAAATAAGAAGAAATTAAATACTTTTTTTTGGATGACTCGATTTTTATAGCTACAATGTCACATACCTTTAGCTGTGTTATGATTCTTTGCGTTTCCCACAGCTCTTCCTCACGTTTTTTGGTCACAAAACCCGCATTCATTTCAGAATGAATTTGATTCAATAAACTTTCTTGCTTTCTCAGTTCCAGCTGAATGTCTTCAACTGTTTCTGGTAGATTTGGACTTGTACTTGCATGGATTGGCGGAACATATCTGCGAATAGAACGAAACTATTTACATGATGTGATTGAATTGATGGACATAAGGATTTTATGTACACGCATTGGCGAAAAACTTTTGGTATTTTCCAAGAACGCTTGCGTTGCATCTTCCTATGTTCCATTATTGCACAAAATAAATATCACATAAATTCAAAAACAAAAAAAAAATGTTCGATTGCACAATTCTCTTCTTTTTTTTGTTGCTGTTGCAGCAGCACACAAAATATAACAATTCAACAGTAAATCGTGAATGAAACTATCGAAGCGATCGAGTGGGATTTTTTGAGGTAGAAAAGTGAATGAAGGTTTCATGTTATTTTTTTTTTTGTTGACTGTATAAAGTTGGAGATAGGCAATATTCATAGTATATGGTTCACGAAAGTAGATACGTTTTTTTTTGTAATAAATTAAATTATATGCATAGACATGTATGAGATTTTACACCTTAATTGTTGGTAGCGCATGCAAACAAACGTAACGTTATTTTTCAATTATCCAACACCCACAAACAATACACACATATACACAATTTTGTATATCCACTGTTGTTTTTTATCCATCAAAATGATTGTGTATACAACATTTTTATATATGGCCATATGTACACAAATGCTTTGGAAACAAAAAAAATTTAAGATGTTTTATTATTGTTATCTACGAGTGATCTCTCAGGTGAAACAAACGCAGGGTAAGAGAGTCGAGAGATCTGTAGTATTATCATACAGAGATGCATTACGGAAATTTGATTTATACCTTATTAACACAAGTGTGTCGAAATTCTCAAAAATTCGTTACGCGCCTGAGAAGACTCATTGAGTAAATTTTCACGGTTTATGGATTTTTGAACAACATTTGAGTGTGGTGATTGTCAAAATGAGTGCTTTTTTGGATACGGTAAGTTGGGTTGTCTTTAAGTTGAAAAGGAAAGAAATATCAAACTATCTAGTCTTTAACTTAGTTTGCATAACTTTTGCCATGTTTTTCAACAAGATTAATCTAATTGTTGACAGAAATTTGATTTCTTGCTGTAATTAATCACAAAATACTTTTTGAAGTGGAAGCAAATTTAGCCATTTTGCAACTAAAATTAGAATTTCGAAAAATCGTTATTTGACTTCAAAATCTTCTCATCATTAATTATATATCTACAGAATTCTTGATTGAATTGACCCAAATAAAATATTCCATCTACACAGAATGCGCTCCGACCTCAACTCAATTAGTCTAAAACTCGACCACTTATATGATTTTACGAAATATACATGCCGCAATTATTTTATAATTTCATTATTGTAGTATCTTTTTGAACGACTTTGTCACACAAGCAACATTTTTAAAAATAATTTAATGTATCTCGTGTCATAGATAAGATAACTTACTTTTGCAAAAGTACATCAGCAAAGAGGGTTTCGGCATGACAAAGAAGCGTTATCATTAAACGGTGTGATAATTGTAAAATAGGTGAAAGTAAGACTGCCAAGCTTTGGGCGTTTAATTTATTGGATTCAGTACTGATGACTGCTGAAAAGTGTTTCATGAGCCACGCAAGCAAGATTTGATTACATTTTGGGAGTTGATCAATGAGTTGTTCAAGCTCTTTTGCTTGCTCCGTGACATCTGGTAATGCTGAAGCTTCTTCAAATCGAGTAATAAGTTCAGTTGTGAGTATTGGTTCTGGAAGTTCCTGTAAATAAGCTTTTAATAAGCTTGATGCTGTAGGAACATCCAGTTCTTCATTGTAAGTGTCTCGATTGTTGTAGCACTTCTTTAAATGCTGGATTCTTGCTTTTACACCTTCAACTTTATAAACTTGTTCTGATTGTAGATTTTCTTGAATGACATCAATACAATTTCTGACTACCAAAGGAATTTTAACACCGTCATGACAACGAGATCTCTCTACAGCCAAACCTAATGAGACACCAAAGATTGGTTGAATATCTGAAAGAAAATAAGACCTCAAGTATTGTGGATAGAAAGAGAAGCTAGTTTAAGTTCACCTCCAATTTCAAAAGCGACGTCTATGGAACTTCCACCTTTGCACTTCTCCTTTTTATCCTTTTTGTCCTTTTTCTTATCATCTTTATGATCCTTGTGTTTTTCTTTAGACTTTTTGTCCTTTACCTCAATCACTTCCTTTATTTCAACTGATTTTTCTCTCTTTTCAGTTTTCTTGGCTGATGGGAATTTGAATGTTTTTGACTTTTTAGATTTTGAAGGACTTCTGAACAATTTGCTTCCACCAGATTCATTGTCATCTTCACTATCCGCACCTAATGCTTCATATGACTGGCGATCTTTTTTGTCTGATTTATCCTTTTTATCTTTTTTAGCTGATTTTTTCTGTTTTTCAAAATTTTCTGATGAATTCGATTCATTTTCTTCTGGTGGATTTTTTCTATTCTTTTCGTACAACCCAGGAAATTCATGCTCATCAGGACTACTACTATCCTCCATTACAAGTTAATGAATAAGTTAAAATTACACTTAGAGAGCTTAAAATGATTAACTTAATAATTAGTCTTTTGTTCGATTCTTGTTTCGAGTCATCCAATCAGAATCCTAGAGAACGTAAACAGATGGATTGTCTGCTGAGAATGTGACATGATTGTTCTTAGAGCAGTACAATTTTTTGAATTTTTGAAAGCCGTTGGGATATTTTGGATGGAGGGAAAACTTTAAAGCAATATATGTAGCTCTGAAGAATTAGAGATGAATCAGGGGCTAACCTTTACTTGAATCATTTGGTAGAATTTCTCTAAACCCCTCACCTTTTCCTTTCCAAAACATATTTTAAACCTTTAACTTAAAATAATCCTTGATCCTTTAACCTTTCCAAACTCATTATTTAATTCAACCAGATTGAAATGAATTCCAACTTTTAATGATAATATTTATCTATAGAAAAATAAAGGAAATTTCTGCAGAGTAAGGAATCCGCGTAGGATGTCAGCACAATTCAGGAAAAACAAACTGTGGTTCATTCAAAATATGACTTCATTCATTTACCCTTTATGTAGGAATGTACCATGAATGAATAGCAAATAACACATGATGTTAATTGAAAGAGAAAAAAATTCGATATGAGATTTATGAATTTTTTTTTGTAATCAGGAACTTTGAATGCGCGTGTAACTTGCAGGCATTAACAACTAATGATTTTCATCCTACAATCTATTTTCATTCCCATTGAGAATTATTATGGTTTTAATACCGTTGGGGTTAGTTCAAAAATGATGTTGTAAAGAACAGGAGAACTTTGAGAGGATAGGCGTGATTTGAGTTCGTTCATTTAAATTGTAAGTCAATACACCTTAATTCCAAGATGACAACCACAATGTGGATTCTATTTCAAAGACACGAGCCAAAATCTCATATCGCCGTCATTTATAAACCACCCCCATTGCCAAAAAATAGTTGATAACAGAGAATGTTGTAATCCTCGTTGTGGTCTTTGATTTTGGATGTAGATATAGCGATTTTTAAGCTTAATGTATTTATTCATGAATAATTAATAAAGTTCAAAAATTTTCATTTTTCGAGAGTACGAAAAATCCATGAACAGATGCAATAGGATTTGCAATTAAAAATCAATTATTCATAGAATCATGAATGCAAGCTCTCGCGAATGCGAATATAGGACAATTCTAATTCTAGCTTTGAAATGTACAATTTTATCCAAATCGATTATGTGCCTTTTTACATCCCCATCGAGTCATAATGTAAATTGACCAGTCGATTATTGACACAACAAAAGCCAAATTTAAGTGGTAGATGTTCATATTGTGTGTGTGTCTGTGCCTTCGTTTGGGTCATGATAAAAATAGCTTTCATTGAGAACAAATTTTGTGACGAGAAAAAAAAATTAATCCTCTTTGTCATATTACGATATTTAATCGTCTTTTTACCATTAATCATCATCATTCTATAAACATGTATCATCCAATGATGGAAAATGGAGAAGGAAAGCACATGGAAGTTGTTCATTAAAAATAGATTTAGAAATCCATTTCAGGATAAATTTGAGGTGTAGTGGAACTATTATTATTAGATAGACTATGTTGTACCTTGTACTAACTTTATGATTCTCTAATCTTTGAACATAACATTATTCTGTTGATTTGAAATGTTGTTTTATGGATTAAAGTGAATTTAATTAAGGTTTGTGTAGATATTTAAGGACAGATTCATTACTTGACTGTTTAAAAATATTAAAGTTTTCTATTTCAAAAATCATCTGTTCTGATAAGCCTTATTATCTGCTGACAATATTGTTTACATCAATATGTACCCGATCCAACTATAAAAGATTGAGGTATTGGCTTTTATTTATCAATCTAATTTATAATTAAAGCTATAAAATCAATTTTGCAGTCATCTGTTTAATTGAGTCGAAAACTCGCAATCAACTTGAAATTTTTAATTCTTCATCAAAACAATGCGCTCTAGTCTCTCCAAAATGAGTCAATAACACCTTTAAACCTTTAAATATGCAAATTTAAACAAGGAAAATCTCAGAAAATCTAATCTCATGTTTATACTTGTTCCAAAATTTTATGTTCTTGACTATCTAATCTTAATATTAAAAACATGTTTTTCAAGACAATTTTATTATATTCCCATTTTTAAAGAAATAATAAAATCATTTCTTTAGAGAGTCATTTTACATTAGATGTGTTTTGATTCTGAGCGAAATATCTGAGTTTTTTATGTATCAAATAGAACATAATTTTCATGTCATAAACAAATATGAGAGATCTCGTATTCAAAATCTAAGAAAATTGCTTTAAGCATACACTTTTTTTTTTGCTTTTGACTCTTATTATTTCTTATAGAAACCACTTATGAAAGAATATTCTGGGACTAGAGATGATTTACGTTAGGTTTTGATAGTGAAAGTTTGCGCTTTGGGAATATTTATAAAATTTATTATTAGGGTTAAATATGTTTTGGCATCAAAAGTAGAAAGCAAAGGATTATTAAGTTTATGTCACTCATTATTTAAATGGGAAATAGGGAATTGATTATTAAATGCTTGACTTTAAAATGTTCTTGAATCAAATTATATAAAACTTTAAATTAGATGAGGTTATGATTGTTTAATCAAGAAACGAGCATCATTTAATTGTTTGCACAAGGTAAACTCCTTGAAAACTTTAGCATAGCGGTTTTCAATAAAAGCATAATTGTCAAACAATCAACGTTAATCTAAAGATTCAATTAAAAACTACGAAAATCTCTCAACATGACAATTTATGGAAGATAAACAGATATCCAATTCAGATATTCGTTCTAATAACCATTGCAAACAAAGAGTCTCAATTGTGTTCGATTGAATGAACAAAAACGAGAATTATACACACACAACACATTCAAGGAAACGCTTTTGTAGGAAACTTTTTAGTCTCTCTGTGCTATCACTTAATCTCAAGTTTTTTTGATTCTCGAGAGTAACATTCATTGAATTTTTGTAACCTTTTTGATTTATTCTTTTGCTTCAATGAAGGAAAGAAGATAAAGCAAATGTCAACTTGAAACTTGTAGCAATTTTGTGTGACACAGAAAAAAGCTCACATACTAGGGGTTGTTAATCAATGACGTACGATGAATTTTTCTCTAGACCTTTGATTAATTGAGCTTTAAAAGTGAGCATGGCACATCTTTAGACATCATCTAAGTCTCTTAAATCTTTAACATCATTTATGAACAATCCACATTGAGCTTATACAAAATACCCAAGCACGAATAGAAATGCTTAATCATGTAATTTTTAAGGATCGTTCTCGCATTTCCATTTGGAATTGAATGGTTGGGAGTGAAGACAAATTATACAATTTCCTGTACTAATGCATAAAGATTAAAGGGAACAAAGTACTACAAGCGTGGTCGACTACGTCCACTTATCCATTCATTATGCTACTGGAGAGAGTGAGTATTATCCTCGAAAGAATTTTTTCCCTTTTATTATTTCATTTGTCTGTTCACAAAGTAAATGGGATGAAAAAGATGGGAAAGGTATAGATTTTTAAGATGCTACGTGACTGTTCTTAAATGTCGAAGAACTATGATTTATACTTTATATTATGAGATATCTGATCCTTTTTATGGACTATCGAAAGAATGAGATACTTTGAAATTTGTTTCAATTTTCTCAACGATATTACGGTGCTATTTATAAAGTATTGATACCGTGGAACTTTGTGACTACTTCCGTTTCTTCTATCTACATTACAGGCTACATTTTTTCATCGCATTTCTTTTCTGAAAATGAAATTGTTTTTGTATTCACTTTAGTAGTAGTAAAATTAGATTTCAAGAGATTCTCGAAAAGTTCATGTTTTAATGCCCTAATAGAACTTTTCCTTGAAAAATGTACTTATTTATTTATTCATTGTTATAGGATATCGTTGAAGTTGATTGTTATGGTTCAACGCATCACGTAAAATCTTTTTTTTTTCTTTCATAAATACAATATTGAAGATGGAGATTTTCAAGTTCAATGTTAGGTGTTACTCGATGTGAGGAGGATTTCGAAACGTGCGAGATTTATCAAGAATAAAAAAACCTCCAACTCAACAAATATGAAGCCTTAAGAATTTTAAGGATGTAGGTGGGCCTCGTCACAAAAAAATTGTACGTGAGTGACGCTTTGTTATTCTTGAATATCTCCTTAGGAGTCGTTCACTTATGACGTCCGAAATTAACGGTCATTTTTCATAAAAAGAACAATGAATTTCCTGGAATTTCTATTGTTCTTTTCTTGCTGACCCCCCCCTCTGGACATCATAAGTGAACGGCCCCTTATGCTTCAAAGTGACAAATTTAAGAGTTACTTTTTTGAGAGGATAATTAAAATCTTCATCTATTGTTGTACAATTCACTTCTTGAAACTTTATATCTTCTAGAAACTTTGCTATATCTCCATTATTGTTTATTGATATATGACCAAATGTATTTTTTTATGTGCGAAATTCAATTCTGTTCTTTTTGAGTTTATAAAAAATTTAAAATTGCTGCATTAACATACCTAAATGGACAAAATTAAGTTACAATTTTTTTAACGGTTTTAACTTTTTTGAATTTTTTCGGTTGTAATTTGTTTGTTTACAAACAAAATTGAAAATTAAATTTGAAAAGTTATGAAAATATCACCCAATAATGATGTAAAAGCTCTTAAAATAGTCAGAACAGCTAATGTATCATCTATTTTTCGTATTCAAATCATAATATTTGGGATTGAATAATTAAGAATTTTTGAGAATTTATTTTTTGATGTTAAGTCAAATGAAATCCTTAAAAAACGTCGAGGTCCAGGTAGATTTTTGACCGAATTCGAAATCTTTAAATTTATTTTCGATTAGAATTTCGATTAGATTTTTAGATTAGATTTTCGATAGTTGTATCCAAACTAGATTTGGTATAAATTTGTTTTTGACAAAGGCAATTTCTTTCCTTTTGCATGATTTTGACTTTTTCAAATTTGAAGGTAATAAATTAATTCTGGCTCGAGGTTATATGTATGATATACTAGCTGAAAATATAGATTTTATAAAA